TTGGGTTAAGTGATGAGAAAAGCTTGGTCTGGGTTATTGCTTGCCAATTGCTGTTTGCAATTTGCAGCGCAATAGGCGATATTCGTACTTTCGATATTGGACTGGAACTAGCTTGCAACTGAGGCTAATGTGGGGAGTCTTTTCAAATGCAAATGACTTTAATCTATTTTTATTGATATTTCCCCGCATGAGCCTCAATTGCAAGCTAGTTCCAGTCTAATACCGAGAATACGAATATGGTCTATTGTAACCTAGAAATCAGTGAGAAATGGTTGAGTAGCTACGATATCATTCAAAACGTTTAAATTGTTTAGATTGTATTCAACAAAAAGTCTACATTATAAGCGACGAAGAAGGTTGAGAGCAAAATACAATTCTGGGTGTTTTATTAATGGGTGGAAATCCTTATTACGTTTTTATTTTTTTCAATGCAATTTTTTCCCGATGTTTTCATCAGAAATGCTCCTTTGGTACTTACCGCTGTTTAGGCATTGGAAAATTGGACAGCATTCGTCGTTTGCAGGGTGAAAAGTGCATGTCGCTGGCAGTTTATTTGGGCAGTAATTATTCGTCTGACAAACGGGATCTTTGTGTTTCACCTTGCATGGTTTGAATGACGTGATAACATCATTATTGCAAGTTGCATGAGTTGTTAAGTAAGATTCACTTCCACAACATTGCACTGTAGTGTCGTCAGCATCGGTGTCTTGTCCAGGAAGGTCTCTCACTTTTCCTAACAAAAGGGGTTTCGATCAGGTTTACAAATGAATTTAAAATCACTATGCAGGAGACCCTCCTGATATACGTTTTACATTGTGCAACGCATCCGAATGGAATGGGAGCCAATCTTTAAAAGATATTCGCACAATCTTCAGTTATTGTCCGATATCAGTTTCTTTCTATTGCCTTTTCAAAATAAAATGATAGGTCACTTTAATTTTTTTTTATTACGTTTTTCACTGTCTAATGATTTTTTTTTAAAGCCGACAAACAGAAAACTGAACTAACCTTGACAGCAAACCTGCCTGTCAGGAAAGAAAGCTGCATTATTGCAGCATCTTGCCTCCTTTGCACTTCTATGTGTTCCATAGAACACGCTGACACTTCCTTCACAGCAGAGAGATGTTTCTGTATTATAGGGTTTCTTTCCAGCACAGCATTTCCATGTTTCGTGCTTAGGACGAATGTAAGGCTCAGAACCACATTTATCGCATACTTTGTAACGGACATCATAATGCTTATTTCCACACTTGTCTATCATATCTGAAAGTTAAAAAGTTGCAAACGTTTAATAATAAAGCAACGCCAAGTTGCAAACATCTAATAGTGAAGCAATACCAGAATATAAACTTTGGCCGGAATATTATAGATTCCGCTTCAAGACAAGGTCTAACAACAACATAAACCATAAACACTCCCGTTTGACGGCGGAAAGTCTTAATACTTTGACGAAACGCACGATCATTTTGAGATGCAATAACACAAACTTAACTGCATACACTGCAACCTAACAAGGTTGTGGTTCTTCATTCTACGTACCTTTGTTGATCACCCAGACTCCAAAGTTGTCAAGGAAGGCTGTTTCAATAAGCGTTGTTGAATTTTCGCTCATATGCCTCCTGTCACTTGAAGTCAATGGAGAGTTCCATTTTATGATCTTTATTTTGTGCTCTGTTCTAAGGGGCTGTCCTGACGTGGTACCATTTTGGAGGCCCGTACTTCCGCTGACAACAAACTTATTTTCGTCGCATGAATGTTTGCCTCTCCACATCCAGTGGTTTAAATGTGGCAATCCAGGACAGTTTCCCAGTCCACACCGCTTACTTCCTGACGCGCAACCCAGCCACAAGCCATCTCCTTCGTCATTCACCCTGTAAAATAGAGCCACTTCATCTCCATAGCGAATAGGGTCATTGGTGGTCAGCCTTCCTTTACCGTAGATGTGGAACACTCTTCTTGCGTGAGTGAAAAAGTTTTCTGTTGCCTGATGCTTTGAAAAACTACATTCCTTTTTGCTGCAGGCTAACCAAGATCTCGGAGTATTGGTTACTTCGTTTATGGCGAAGAGGACTGCATCACCACTGAAAATATGGTCTGGATCTTCTTCTTGTTCTTCGGAAAAGAAAAATGTATTATTAAGTTTAGAACAATCAAAATTTACGGGATGATGTCAAAAACTTAAAGATATTGAAACGTTCTCAAACTACCTGCATTCGTATGACAGGATAGCTCTATCAAGAGAAAGAGTGTCAGACATCCAAGAGATGCCAAGTTCATCTTTGAATCCAATTTTTTTTTTTTTTGCTGCAACATCAATGGTATAAATGAAAAGCTGTTAGTAGATAGATAGGTAAAGAAGCGAAAAGAACATGAGATTAGTAAGTAGGTGGGTCGGTAGGTATGTGGGTGCCGGGGAGGGTGGATCTTTGGGAATGTGGGTGGGTAGGTTGATAGGCAGGTGTAAACGGTGTCTTATAGCGTTTGGTTTATTTCTCAGCTGTGCTCTACAAAGCGTTAACAAAAAATGACCAAATTCCAGGTTGCAGGGTAAATAGCTTTGTCACCTTACGTGCAAAATTTTTCATGAAACAAACTCAACGTATAAAGCTACACTGAAGTAGCACACCGGCGACGTACGTGTTGTTTGAGTTTGAAGTTTTTGTTTCCCATTTGATAAAATTAGTTTGGTAATAAAAAGGTAAAAAAGATGATGTTCAGACGATGTTCTTGCTTAAAACGTCGCTTTCAGTTATCTTTGCCGCAAATAATCAAAGCTAGTAAAATGTGTTAGAAAATACAAAAACTGCGGTTAACAAGTGCGTCCTGTTAAACGAACTCGGCAAGCAGCATTTTCAATCTTATCTATTTTTTTGAAATTCTTCCGTTACCACGAAAGCCTTTTGTTAATCCATAAATCAGAATAAGAATTCGATCAAAGTAAGTAACTTATAAGTATAAATTTCAACATTGCCTATTAATACCATGAAAGCAAAATTGTCAATAGAGACAAAGAGTGCTCGTTCAGAAAACTATTGAACCAAGGGCGGGAGACTTCCTTAGCGAGCTGGTGTCAAAGTACTTCACATTTTACAGTATTTTTTTTTACACTTTCAAAGCATTTTCTATGGGCAAAAAGTCAAAGAAAAAAAATCTCAAACGCTTTCTTTGGATGAAAGCCTCTTGCTAATCTATTTGTCCCTTGCTAATTCGATCAATTTTCATAAACTCATTGCTGTCTTCCAGGAATCCATTTCATCTTTTAAAGAACGATGGTCAAAAAAATTCCCGGAAATTTGCGTTAGTTCTGTTTCTCTTCGAATTTGGTCAACAGGAAGTTGATAGATTTAGCCAATCACCTGGCTATTTGGGAGTGAGACACTTAAATGTGACTTACATGTAGATTTTTTAAAATCACACCATTTCAACTCAAAATGGCCAACATTGTTGACTGAGAGATTTGTAAAATTAGAACGATTTGCAAAGATCCTGAAGATGTTTTTGAGGCTGACAACAATCCGAAAGGTATATTTCAAGTAAATAAGGAAGTAATTCTACAGTTATCTCGAAATTAGAAGCGGAAACTTGACGTAAACGAACTTACGGGGGACTTCGCATGGGCTTGGCAAAATGGACACATGTTGTTCAAATGCGACTGAATTATGTTTTTTTCTCTATTTTTTTATTTTTTTGCCTAATTTTACGGGAAACTGCTTTAGTTGAAGTCGAAAACTAAAAGTTTTCCACAACGACACGGTGTTTTTGAACATTTTTCCCGTCTGTGGGAGTCAAAGATATTTTCTCGACAACTATCGAAACTGCGTTGTCACTGGACAGTGGCTTGAGCACGCGTAGTGCTTTGTGCATGAGTAGTGAACACTAGTTACCAAGGTCTCGCTGACCTTACTTAGACATCGACAAATAACACTCCAACGTGGTAAATGCTCGCATCGGACACAAGACGTTGTCGATAACATTTGGTTCTCGATAACTATTTTTATTTTACTTTGTAGCTAGGAAATTGAGGTAAAGGTAAGGAATCCGATTCTACCGAGATAATTTGGAACTTGTCTGCCGATTCTTGAAATCCTTACCTAAAATTCGCCCAATCTAGCGTTCATCAGATGTATACTCTACAAAGTGTATCGGACCACACCTTTGAAATCATTATCCAAACTCGATCACACCTTGGAAGTGGTCTTTAATCGTAGTTAACCAACTAAACTGAGGAAAGTTTAAAATAAATCACTTGTATTCTTGTGGAAGTCTCCAGAGGAAAAATTTGGAGAGACTACCACGATGCTGAGCCGACATTTACGAAATTTGCGCTTTGTAAGCACTTCCAAAGTTTAAAATCCCTTGAAAATTTTTATTACGCTTTCTAGGATGTCAAATAAAAATAGCCTTGTAGAAAAAAAAAGAAAATCTAGCAATTATGTGACGATAAATTAGGCCTCAAAATAGGCTGAGAGCGCAGGACTTCTCATATCAACAAAAAACCCACATTCTCTTTAGAGAAGGTACGTACATAACGTTAGAGGCATAAGAGGAAACATACTGTGCCGTTGGCTTGGTTTTCCTTACCATTCAAGAGTTCGAACGCTTTCTGGGCCAAGGAACGTTAAATCATCTAGTCGGGCCAATAGTCGAGGCCAGAATGCCATCCAAGTGATTTAGTCAAAAGGATAATTACCAAAATTTAACCTTATCACGTCATGGCAGTCAGGGGCGTGTCAGTTCAGTTCAAGACAGGTGCCTTGCATTAGTTATCGCTTTTAGACATACCTCTGTTGTTATCATTGCTTACGTAGACATTTGAACAGTCTTGAATGGAAACTAAAAATTCCTTTTGTAAATGTTTTTTATTTATCTTTTTCTTACTTGTTTGTATTTATTTATTTTATTTTATCTTCTCTGACACCTCAGTCATCATGTACACAATACATGGTGTTAGTCACGGCGCTACGGTTGGCAATTCCTTTGATCGCTGCAGATTTCAGACAACCACGTTTGACATTTACGCCATATATTATTAACTTCTTCGGGTACGAAATGCATGTGGTTCTGGATGAGCAAACAAAAGAAGACATTACTCCCCGTTTCTTAAGAGCAAGAAAAAGTACAGTTCTGTTCAATTCAAAACAAAAAAATTTACTG